GGAGGAGGAGAGGCGCGAGAGAACCGAAAGGAGAACGATGAGGGCGTTTTTGCGGAAGCCAAATCCCACGAATGAAAATGGATGAATCGGACGTTGGCGCGGCAACCGGCCGAAATTTGGACTTGTCGGCCGAAAACAAACACCGGAAGAGGGAGGGCACGCGAGGATCGTCGGGGGCAACACGTTCCTGCGAGAAGAGAACCACCCCGTTCTACCCGTTCGAATATTGTCCACTCGTTCTACGCGGAAAGCAAGCAGGCATGTGGGCAGGAAGCCAGCCAGAGCCAGAGAGCGAGCTGGCTACGGAGCGTCACCACGACTTTGACGTGTTCCACGTGAGCGAGTGAGCGTCACGCAGGAGGCAGGCAGGAAGGTAACTTGAACCGAAAGGTGCCAGGTCAAGTCAGCGTTCCCATCCTGCGGCCAGGCCCGATCCACCGGCGCAGCAGCCGGGGCAGGGGCACCGCACGCCGGACGCCGTACGTCATACGTGCCGCGCACGTGAGTCTCGAGCCTAGCTAAGCCGAGCCGAGCCCATGCCGATGTCGGCATCGCCCTCGCACTGACTCCACCCATTCATTCATTCACTCTGCTTTACGTGTCCCCGGCCTCTCCCTTTCCCTTCTTTTTCCCAGAGGGAGACGCCCCTTTAATCATATGGCTCATCGCGTTCGACACCATCCCACGCCCACGCCTTCCTCACCGACCGGTGGGCCGCATTGACGGTGGGCCCCGCCGCACCCGCAATACATACACGATGCCAAGCTCCGAGTTGGACGCGAAAGGCGAGCCGAAAATATGCTTAAAAAAAAAGAAAAGGCGAGCTGAAAAAGATTGACCACGACGTGCTCTGCTCCGCCTCGTCCTCCCCGCGTCCCCGGTACCGACCGCCGGGCCCGCCGCCGGGTCGCGACGAGCCCAACGGCGAGTTGTTTTTATCGCGGCTGCCCCTCTGTGACCAACCAGGTCCACGGAAGGTGGCACACACAGCATAATCCGCGAATAATATATTTTTCTAACCCAAGAAAGATACCACTCGTACTATACCGAATGATGCTTCACATTTTATTATTATTATTATTTGGCGAGCGATTATCACTCATCATCAATTATACTATCAATAACGGTAGGTGCGGCGATAATGGAATCGATAAGGACGCGCCGGCGGTGGGCCCCGGCCCGAAACCGGCTGGCGGGCCGCAGCTGGAACGACGCCACAGCTGTATGTTGCCGGGCCCGCCACTCCCCACTTGCTGCGTTTCGCGGCTCCCACGTCGTCAACTGTGCCGCGTCTGTAACTCAAAAATGAAAAAAAAAAACTGTGCCGCGTCTGTGCCTATCCCCTTCCCCCGATATTTACCCCTCAATTTCCGACGAATTTCTCGCTCACGTCTCTCCATTTCACCACACCTTTACCCCCAGAAACGTCCGTTATTCACAGCCCAACTGCCACCCCGCTCACACCAACCGCGATGGCACGCCACGAAATTTCACGCAACCCCGAGGGCTCGACCCTATCCAGGCCAATAATTCAGCCGCCCACGTCGGGCACGAGCACGAGCCGGGCCCACCCCCGTGCCCCACCACGTCAGACCAATAAAGATCTCTTCACCCCTAAGCAAAAAAAAAAAACGGTTTTAGTTTTCTATTACTGCGAGTCGGAGAGGGTAAGCGCAGCGCGCACGCTTCCGTCAGGGCCCGGCCCGGCCCGCGTGGTTTCTTCCTCTTCTATAAAACGCGGCCCGGCGGCCACGGGATATCTCCCCCATTGTTCTCCTCCCTCCCGCAGATCCCCTCTTCTCGCTCGTTAGGGTTAGGTCTCTCCCGGCGCGGCGCAATCCGCAAATCTCGACGACGGCGCCAAGCAGCGAGCGGATCCACTCGATCTAGTCCCGCGCCGACGAGCCCATGGCGACGGCGGTGCTCAGATCCCACGACGCGCTCGCCAACAGGATGCATCTCGACGCCTTCGCCGCGTCCCCCCAGGCCGCCAAGCAGCGCCGCCGGCGCCACCCCAAGCCGGCCTCGCCGCCGCCTAAGGTGGCCATGGTTGCCGGTTCTTCGCCGCCAAAGCCGGTTCTTTTGGCGTCGCCGGCGACGAAGCAGGCGCCCGCGGCCGGCCGTCGGTCCCCGCCGGTGAAGCCTGCCCGCAAGCAGCCTTCCCCGACCAAGGAGAAGCCCCGGCAGCAGCCGATCGTGATGGAGGCCGTCCGGATCCTCAAGCGCGGCGAGGAGCCGCCTGCCCCCGCCCCCGCGCCAGTCCAGGCCAGGGCGCAAGCCCAGCCCGCGGACAGGCGGGTGCGGTCTCCCTCCCCTGCCTCACCGCCCGTCGTCAAGGCCCGGCCCCAAGCCCCGCCAGCGGATAGGCGCGTGCGGTCTCCTCCCCCAGCCACAGCACCCATCCCGGCACGGGCGCAAGCCCCGCCGGCCGACAAGAGGGCGCTCCGGACCACCAGCCGGATCGGCCCGCAGCAACCTGCCGTGGCCCCGACCAAGAAGATGGTGCCAGTCGCCATCGCAACCAGCTACGCCGGCCCGGCGTTCTCTGCCGCGGCCCCAGAGCCGAGCTCCCTGCCCCTGCCGGGATTCTTCTTCCGGCGCGCAGAGGAAGAGGCCACCCGCGGCCTCCGGTGCCTGCTCCGCATCGGCGAGCTCTCATGATGACGGCTCCCCCTCCAGCAGCAGCGTGTGCGCCTCCTCCGTGGCTGCGCCGTTCTGCTCTCCTCCCTCCTCCCCCTCGCCTCGCCTCATCTCCTCTGGAAGCAACAGCAAGAAGAAGAAGAGGTGGTAATAACTCTCCCTGACTGAAGGACGGAAGGATTTTATCTGCGGATGGTTGGTGTGTGGTTCGATCCGGCGGATCAGATCCCGGAAGCTCCGTTCCGATCGAACCCTTCCGGTATTTTTTCAGAGGAAGGGTCATCGGGGGAGCGGAGGTCCGGCGGTAGGGTTTGGTGGTGGTTGCTTTAGGTTCGCGCGTTGCTGCTGTTTGGTTCGCCTTGATGTCGTTAGGTAGGTTGTTAATCTTGGTGTAGGTGACGATGATGATCTGGTAGCTAGGGAGTGGGTCTCAGGTTTGGTAATAATTGAAGTTTATGCGTGTGTGCGTGTGTGGGGGTTGAAGATTAAGGTTAAGGTATGAGTTATTACAAGTTATTATATACTGAGAGGTAAGTAAATTAGTATGGTGGTTGCATCAGCTGAGCTATGTGTAGTTGGTGTGGCAACTGAGAGGTGTGTCTAGTTGCATCAACTAGGCTATGTGTAGTTGATTTAGCAGCTGAGTTATCTTAGGTATTTCAAGAGTTGTTCATGGTCCTTTGTAAGATATATCTAAGTCTGTGTCTGTATCGGTCGATCATAGAGCTATAATTCGTGAAATAAAAATATGTCAGTGGTAGATTATATGAGCTCTCCTCTTTCATGGTTTTTTGTGATCATCTGTTGTTGATTCTTGCTCATAACGATTTCTGGTCTGGTCAGCTGATGACTTGGCCTTGCTGTCCGTTGAACCCGACAGTGTGATGAAGAATTCACTGAGCTATCCCTTGATGAATTTATCTCGAAATATTTCAGTGATTAGTTTGCACAGATTGCTCTCCTCATGGTGCGTGGGATCATCAGGATTTTGTTGACAATAATTTGCAAACCACGATGTCTCGTCGTTGGGAATTCGTTTGGTTTTGGGCTGCTGTGGAGTGCTGGCTACTTTGCGTGCTCCGTAGATAGCCTTGTGTTTTGGCAGGCGTTGCTTACTTTGGGGGTGGTGGTGGTGATTGAATGCCACTACGACCACTTGTCTCTCGGGCTAAGCAAGGCCAAATCGTACTCCACCAGCCAGCCGTGTTATCTGATTTCCCACGCCTAACATCGCTGGCAGTTGATGCATCAGCCAACAACCACACCGAAGGAGAGAGCAAAGAAAATTAAGTATGAGCAACGATTCAGTTTGGTTGACCCGGAAATTTGCTGAAAGGTGGTGACGCGTCCGCCGGGCCGAAACGCCGTGCGCTGGACGCCACTTGAACCTTCGAGACGCCGGGCCAATTGATTTGTTTTTGACGGGTAAATTTTTTTTTTCCATTATAGGTGGACACCATGATATACTCCCTCTGTTTTTGAATATAAGCCCTTTTAGAGATTTCATCAATACGGACTACATACGGATGAGCAAGTTGGGCGGCTAGTGACTTATATTCAGTCGGTGATGAGATGAGATGCGTCGACTTTGACGTGGAGTATGGAAGCATACTGTGGAAAGTTGGACCGGCAGCCATGGCCAAGGAAGCAAGGCAGGTAGCGTCGCTTTTATATGCAGAATATTAGTCAAGTTGGGCAGGTCTGACGATTCCACCGGGTTTCGTTCATGAAGATGAGTACGAGGCACCAAACTTTGTCGCCTACTCGCATAAAATGATGAGGCATTAACAGACAGCCGCATTAAGCCAGCATCTTTTTACTACTAGTATGTGTAATGAACAATCACATCACCCGTGCTATAAACAAGGTGCTGAGTAATCAGTCATACGAGCTCTTGTGCTACTAGAAACAGATCTGGCAAAAGAAGAAAAAGAATGATGCTCACTGCCAGACATGACAACAAGAATCACATTGTCACTGTAACCACGTCTGAAAATAAGGCAGCAGGCCTTTCCCTTTTACAAGAAAAATAAATAATGGCCGGCTGGAAGCGACATTTTTCCAGTTTCAACAACAGTTGATCAACAGAATTATGGGCAGGCGAAAGCATGACAAGTGTTGTTTGTACCGACTAGTGCACAAGTGGGCAAACATCAAAGCCTAATCTGTGAGACACTTTGTACATACTACTAGCATCTAGTGCTGACATGACATCTAAAGCATCAAAAGCCTAATCTGTCACACTCTCTGGACATACTGTGACAACTAGTGTGTCCTAACCAATGGTTCTGAGCAAAGAAACATACTACCTCCGTCCGGAAATACTTGTCATCAAAATGAATAAAAGGGGATGTATCTAGATGTATATTAGTTCTAGATACATCCCTTTTTATCCATATCGATCACAAGTATTTTTGGACGGAGGGAGTATGCAATATCAATTTAACATCATGACAGTCGGCACTAACTAGCAGAGGACTCTGGCAGCATGTAAACAACTTGACCTATGACATTTCAAATAAATGACTGGAAATAAACCACTACTAAGCTTGCACATTCATATATAGAGTACTAAATGGCAGAATGATCAGCTAAAATGGCAGTAAATGTGAATAAACCAATTCATTCTATTACATCGTGCAAGCTGCCTGCACCTCATCATAAAGCCCACCGCGGGCGAATCCTACTTAGACCATACAAATAGTTATTCAGGACATGTATACCAAAAGTTGGGATGGATGAACTAGGACTGTGATGATGACTACAAACTCTTTCCAATGCCCACTCCACTATGCTTACTCACCTCTCAATTCAATGGTCGCTCCTCGCACGGAGGAGGAACTTAATCGGCCTTCACAGACGAGAAGAGATAGTGCACGAAGCAGAACGAGGAGATGAACCCGACCGTGCCCGTGGCCAGCATGATGGCGATGACCATGAAGAGCGAGTAGCCGAGGTAGAGGGTCGCCGACACCGGCCCGCTCAGGCTCTTGAGGTCGAACACCAGGTAGTTGATCGAGTAGAGGAAGATGTAGATGGCCACGGACCCGGACGAGAAGAACGACTTCCACCACCACTTCCAGTCCTCCACGCAGAGGTGCATGTAGGTCAGGACCAGGGAGACCTCGGCGCAGACGATGACCAGGAGCAGCATCACGATGAAGAGGAACCCGAAGACGTAGTACACGCGCCCCATCCAGATGCTTGACATGATGAAGAAGAGCTCGATGAACAGGGTGCCGAAGGGCAGCGTGCCGGCGCCGAGAACCAGCAGCCAGGACGGGTACTTCTGAGCAGGGATCTCACGCGGGATCTGGTTTGTGCGGACAGGGTACTCGATGTGCGGCGCCTTGGCACCGAGGAACCCGCCGACGAGCGTAAGCGGCACAGAGATGCAGAACCAGAGCAGGATCAGCACAACGAACAGCGAGAAGGGGATGGCGCCGGTGCTCTGGCTTCCCCACAGCAGGAAGTTGAGTGTGGTGAGGATCAGGAACGCGATGCCAGGGAAGAAGCAGGCTGTCCTCCATGAAACACCCACCCAGCCTGAGTGATCTCCACACCTGATTGTCTTCCAGACGCGGACACTGGCGTATCCTGCCAGGATCCCGAGGACCAGGTAGAAGAAGAGCATGCCTGTGATGAGGGTACCTCGGGAGGCCGGCGACATGAACCCAAGCGCGGCAAACAGGATGGTGACCACGGCCATTCCAAGGATCTGAACCCCATCCCCAACCATCATGCAGAGCAGCATTGGGTTGCTGGGCGCGCGGAAGACATCGCTGACGACGAGCTTCCACCCGGACAGCTCCTCGTTCATCTGGGCCTGCGCCTCACTGTCGAGCTCCTCGTACCTGGTGAGATCGCGCCTGACGGTCCTGAGCAGGATGACGAAGACGATGCCGGCGAGGAAGGCGATGACCATGAGCGAGTTGAGGATGGAGAACCAGTGCACCTTGGCGCCCTCCATCTTGAGGTAGGCGTCCCACCTGGAGGGCCACTTGATGTCGCTCTCGACGAAGGAGACCTCGTAGGTGTAGACGATGGGCTCGTTCTCCTTGATGCTCATGGAGACGGTGGAGGGGTCGCACTTGATCTTGCTGGGGAATTTGCCGTACATCTTGAGGGCCCTGGCGTCCTCGGGGTTGTGCTTGATGCTGCAGGGCACGACCTCGAAGCCGACGACCATCCAGCCGGGGGCGGCGGAGGCGTCCTTCCCCGTGTTGGCGGGGACGGCGGCGCCGTCGGAGGCGTCGGCGGCGGCGCCCATGACGCGCGCGACGTTGGGGTCCTCGTAGCGGTGCACGAGCACGGTGAACTGGAGGTGGTTGAAGACGTAGTAGTCGACGCCGACGCGGATGCCGACGGGGTAGCCCGTCCAGCGCAGGAAGTAGTCGTCCTTGCGGGTGTAGCGGATGGCGGGGAGGTTGTCGAGGATGAGGTTGACCTGGTACATCTCGTCGATGCGGCGCTTGAGGAGGGAGAAGTCCGGCGGGGAGAGCGGCGGGGAGCGGCAGAGCAGCACGTCCGACTCGTTGGCGTGCATCCTGAAGCGGTAGGGCGAGCTCTCGATGCGGTCGCCCATGAGCAGCTCCCCGAGGTTCTCGGCGCTGTCCTTGACCCCCTCCGGCGGCGCGCAGAAGGGCAGGCTGTAGTAGCTGTAGGGGATCTCGGTGTCGATGGAGGTGAGCGAGTTCACCTTGACGCTCAGCGGCTCCCCCGGGGCGTACTTGTGCGGGTAGCTCCCCGGGAGGTAGAAGGCGTGGGCGGGGGCGAGGAGGAGGAGCGCCGCCGCCGCCGCGGCGAGCAGGAGGAGGAGGCGCGGGCGGGCCGCGGCC